GGTGCTACACCACCACCACCAGAGTTACCAGCTGCACCTCCAGGCCTCTGCGAGACACCCAGCACTGTCCCAGTTGGTCTCAGCTCAAACAAGGCTGCCAAGCTCAGTGTGGGCAACTGGTGTTTAAAAGAGAAGAGCTGTGTACCCGGCTCTCTTGCAAAAGGGCTCATTTCAAGACTGCCAGAGGAGGAAGTGGGCCAGGGGGAGCTGATACAGTGCATGCAAACACAGGAGGAGCAAGAGACACAGAGCTACCAAGAGGAGACATTGAACGGCTTTGGTGGAAGGTCACCGATCCAGTCAAAAGCTCCAGCCTGAGGGACCAACATCATCCAATCCTATTTCCCTGTGCAATCCCTTTTGCACACCACCAGAGGAGTCATTTCAGCCCTCATCTAGAACATACTGATGTATGTGGGCTCTGAGCTTTTAGAGACAGAAGAAAGTTCACCAGAGCCACAGGGCTACCTCCCCCAACTGGTTCTCTAGCTACTAGAGATAATCTGAGTTCAACACTGGAAGGACCTTCCAGCAGTGCCTGGTATGAGCAGCAGCTCTGGAGGGTTCACACAGCCCAAATGGGGCAACAAGGGAAAAACAAAGCCAAACAAACAAGAATGCACTTGTGAAACCACGTACATGGTTGAAAGTTCCAGTGCATGGACTCAGCACAGAGGGACAAAAGCCACCAAAGGAGAAAGGGGCTATTTCATCACTGTGGCATAACCTCCATTTCATTGGTCCCTCTCCTTGTAGCACCATTCTTCCCCTACCTCCACCCACGTGTTGTGCCTATGCAAAGAGCAACCACACAAGGAGATAAAACAGCCTCTTTCTGATGGGTTTAATCCTTTGCAGGCGAGTGTACATGGACACATGGGTGCATCAGGAAAGCAGGAGGACTCCTGACTCCTGTACAGACCTGCCAACATGGATGCTGTAATCTCCACCCTGAGCAGACACCAGGATGGAACAGGAGACTGGGCTGTGAAGGACACGGTGGTACAGCCAACACTCACCAACAGCCCTAACTCCAGGTAACTCTAACAGCACTGTTCTCACTACAAAATATCACCCACAACAGCTACAAGAAATTTGGAAAGTTAACCTTTGGCTTTTAGAGTAGCAACAGTTCCCTCGGGAACACTGTTACCCCAGACCAGAGGATTCACTTTCAAGGCACACTGGGATAAACTCTGGAGCTGCATTAGCAGAAAACCCAAATGAGAAGCTCATCAACGGGACAGCACAGACTGACCTCAGCAGTCCACCAAAAATCTGAATCTACGTTGTTAGATATGGAAGAGCAGAGCTGCACTTTAGATACCTGCATTGGACATAGACCATACATGACTCACTGGAAACAAGAATGTCTCAAACTTCCTTCGTACGTGCTGAGGAATGTCAGACCTCATCCTGGGAGTCAAACCTTAGCATCAAATTTAAGCAAGACATGACAGCGCGTACAGGACATGTTCACACAGTCCCCCTTCCCGGCATGTCCTGCCCCGAAGCAGGCAGGAAGCATGTCCACAGCTGTACTGATGCCAGCCAGATCAAAAAGCCCACAGGAGCCTCCAACACCAGTGAGGCACTGTGGGAGCAGAGCTGCTGGCTAACTCCAGGCCCTCCTACCCATGAGGGGTAGGAAGGTCAGTACAGTGCACAGTACCCCCACTTCAGCCCCGAGATTTTTTTTTCCTGAATCTTTGCTCCCTGAACAGGTTGAAAAGGAGGGGAGTTGCCCTCCACCTCACTTCTCAAGATAAAAAGCTTTTTGGTAGGAGGTGTCTGAGTGGCAAACCAGGCTTCTGCCCCACTGCTTTGCCTACGCCATCCTACACAGGGCATCCTGATGTCCTGCTGCAGCGGAGTGAGAAGCAACATGCTTGTTTTGCCTTTTAAAAAAGAGCTGCAGAGTTTTCCCAGAAAAAGTAACATTAAGAGTATCATATCTGTAAAGAAAAGCACTTGACCCAGGAAATGGTAATGTCATTGTTATCTGCATGTTCTTAATTCTCCTCCTTTGCTGACACACATTATGACCACAACTAGCAACATACCATTTTCCCGTAGGATTGGGCCTGGTCCTGCACTTGGGGTAGCAGAACTGAAAGGACATGCTGGGTACTGGCCAGGGAAATGGGGCACCTTGTTTTATGCAAGCCCAAAAGGCCTGGGGCACTGTGGTACCAATCAGAGTCATCAGCTCCCTGGCCTTGTCCAGTGCTAAAGTCTTCATGAGGCACTCGCAAACAAGGTGAGTGGCTGCTGGAAACGGAAGATCTGTTATCTGCCCCTTCATGCAGCGCTAAACCAGGACCTGTGCTCTAGTCTCAGCTTTGTTTAGGCTGAGGGACTTGCCCAAAGTCACACAGGAAATCTCTGTGGCTCAGTTCTGCATCAGACAAAGGGTGATAAAATTTCCTGACCTCTGTGGAGGAGGGTACAAGATGTTCAGGTAGCACAACACCAAAGTAGGGAAAGAAAAGGCAGAGGCAGAAGAAGTACTTGCTCTGTGCTAGCTTGAGCTCAGTAAGGACAAGATGCTTCAAAGAGCAAGGCTGGGAAGAGACATCAGTCACTTCCCACGAGGCAGAGATATTAAAACAGTGACTCTTGCTAAAATTCACTCTAACACATAACATAAACTGTCCTCTCAAAAAAACTTAAAGAGAAAGAAGCAACTGTGCTAAACAGCCACATCCATCGCCCAGCAGCAGTATTCCCCTTTGTCCCATCCCTGCAGCCATACGAAATCCTCAACATTTCTAGTTGCATTTCCCACCTCACAGGATCTGAATTCCTCCTGAATTTGGAGGAACAGAGACACCTAACCTCTTTGCTAAGGCTCCACTGTAGATACATGCAATTACATTTGCAATTAAGTTTGAGTCTAGTTACAGGAAACCAGAGGCAATTTCCACAGATCAGAGTGATGTTATTGCCACACTTCACAGGTTTTCATAACATACACAACGTGGTATTCTGAAACTCACTTTTCACTGACCCACTTTCCACTGAGAAGAAAGTTCATCTTTATTTATCTGGACCTTCTGCTTTTCCTTGCTCGCTCCCAGGAATGCTGTCTGCATGTTAATGTAAGTGGGGAGAGCCAGGGGAACCAGTGGCAACACCATCCGCTTCAAATCTGGGACAAACCAGTCTCCTGCTTGCAGGGCATTAAGGCAACACATTCAGGCCCCAAGGAGAAGGAGCACCCAGCTGCCCTCAGATGACTCTTGCCAGCTGACTCACCGTCCAGAGCTGACAGGCTCCCTAGACGTGACAGAGTTCGGCTGCCACAGGGAGAGGAGCATCGCTCCAGGGGAGGCTCTCTGGGCCGGGAAGAGGCAAGGAGCAAGATTTCTGATGACTTTCCCTGCAATCTCTTCTCAGCCTCCTGGTGCCTTTCTATGCAGGACAAGACCTGGGATCTCAATAAACCACAGCAGTCCTGAAGAGGCCATCAAGGGCTCCAGAGCAGCGTGCACAAGTGCACAGTTTCCCCAGTCCAGCCACAAGCCATCTTGCCATGAACGCCAGCTCTGCGCTGGCTACCTGTGCCTAGTGTCTCACTGCAGAAACTCCTGCCTGCACCTACTTAAAAAAAGACAAAAGCTCAAACCACATAAAGCATCTAAAGGAGGGGGAGGCCCAAAGAGCATGCCAGAGGAACTTGGCTTGGCAAGGGCACGTGAGCTTCCCCACTCTGCCCTGACGTCAGGCTCAGCCACACAGTCTCTCCCAAACAGCTCACCTGGCCACCTCCTTGCCCACAGCCAAAGTCAGGGTGTGTGTGCCTCCTCCCAGAGACAGATGGAAGATCATACCTTTCCCAGGAGCGCTGGCTGGACAAACCATGACAAGTTCTCTGGGAAGCTAGGGCAGATCCCAAGGAAGCAGGCACAGTGAGTGAGTGGGGATGTCAGCAGAGACTGCCAGACACACTATCCGAGCGGATCTAGCAAATGCCTTAAGGCTACAGCCCTGCAGAGACACATGTCCTAGGGAGCTGCTTTTCTTAGTGGTTGCAAGGGCACGCTGAGCTCAGACCCCCCTGCACACTGGGGATGAACGGGTGCCCAAATTCTTAGAACACCCAGGGTCAGAGACCGGTTCCCACGTGCTCCTGGGGAACAAGTGACAAGTGTGGCTGGTCCAACAAGTGACAGCCACAAGTGTCAGCCAAGCCAGAACCAAATGTACTTCAATTCTAACCTTTCATTTCTCTCCCCTGCCTACTCCCAGATCATCAGCACAGGGTGCTGCTCAGTTACCACAGCTTGCTGTGAGCCTGTTGCTTCAGTGTCAAACACAGTAAGCCATGCTCTGCACTCAGCCATCCCAAACTACAACCTACCACTGCTGCACGAAGGTCCCCATGGCCCGACCCCACCAAGGCTAACACCCCAGCACACGGGTCACTGTCGCTGACACATTTTGGATGGGCTCCTTGAGTCTGCTCAAGTTTCCATAGTTTTTATGGTCTGACTGTGGTGAAGTTCTTTCCTATGTTAGATCCTCTAAAAAGGACTGAATATAAAATTTTGCTTTTTTGGCTGCTGAGCATCCCGCAGCCTGGCTCTGGAAAGGCCACATGCCAGCTGTCTGGAGGTTAACAGAAGGATTCCCCCCTCTGGGCTTTGCATTCCTGTTGACATGGCAGTCCCTGGGCTGTTTTAGACAGGCATTGCCAGATCCGATTTGCCAAGCACATGCAACGCTGTTCAAATGTCAGGACTCGTAGCTCTCCCCCTCCAGAGGAGCTCCCAGCCCAGAGCTATGCTGGACAAGGAGGGGTGGAGACATCAAAATATTGCTACAGCACGCAGGACACCAAATCCATTTCCAAACCCACCGTCCCAGTGCCCTTAACAAGCAAACACAAGTTTTGCGATGAAAGAGGAGATCCAACAGCCCTTTGGCCCTGCCAACCCAGCCCTCTACCCCTCGCTCCCAGCCACCACGAGTTCGCACACCATCAACGGGACACTCACCTTGAGGATCTTCACGACGACCCTCTCGTTGTTGGTGATGTTGATGGCCTCAAAGACCTCGCTGTACTTCCCTCGGCCGAGCTTTCGGACCAGCTGGTAGTCGTCCTGATTGCTGCGGGCACCAAGAGGAGAGGGGCGGTGGGGGCGTGTGGGTATAACCAACAGGGCAGGGGCCGGGGGAAGGGGGGTATTCCTCTCCCAGCCTCCCCCTCCGCCGCCCGCAGCCCCCGGGAACCGCCCAGCGCGGGAGCGGGGGGTCAGGGAACCCTCCCCGCGGGCCGAGGCCCTTCCCCAGGAGGGCGCGGGGAGCCGGGGGAGGGAGGGCGGATCCCCGCGCGGCGCTTTACCCCCAGCTCGGGACGTGCGACTCGTAGTCCCAGTACTCGCGGCTCCTCAGGCTGTTCACCTCCGCGTACACCCGCGCCCGGCTGCCGGCGGCCGGGCCGGGCATGGCGGCGCCGGGCGGCGGCTGCAGGAGGAGGAGGAGGAGGGCGCGGGGCCGGCGCGGGAGGCCGGCGAGGCGGGGCGCGGCGCGCAGGAGGGCGGCGGCGGCGGGCGGCGGCAGGGCCAGGCCGGAGCGGGGCCGGGGCGGGGCGGGGCCGGCCCGGGGGCGGCGGGCACGGGGCCCGCGGAGGTGCCGAGGCCCGGGCCCGGTGCCGGCGGCGGCTGCAGGCGGGGCCGCCCCGAGCGCCGCGCAGCCAACCCGGAAACGGCGCCGCCGCCACCGCGCCCGCACAGCGCCGCGCGGCGCCCCCCGGCGGCGCGGAGGACCGGCCACCTCCTCTCCCTCCGCCCGTGGCACCCGCCGCTCAGCCGCGGGGTCCCGCCACACGAGCACCCCTTGTCCCCTGTCACTTGTCTCCTGTCACAGCGCTGGCACACCCTGGGGCCCCGCCTCAGCCGTGTTACCCGCCACAGCCTTCTCCTGTCCCCACCACGGCAGCCTGTCACACCCCCCGCCACAGCCTGACACGCTCGTCACTCCCTCGGGCCGTGTCAGCTCTGCCGCCCTCGTCACTGACCTCAGCGCGGGCACACCGCTGGCACACCGTCACCCCCACCATCACCTGCCGCAGCCCCTCTCACATCCCTGTGGCAGTCTCTCATTATCCCCATCACCCCATCGCCTCTTGACACCTTCCAGCTGGAGGAAAGGCTCCACGTCCCTTTGGAGGGGCTCGCAGAGCCACGTGTGGCTGAGGTGAGGCACCTCTGGAGGTGACCTGATCCAAGCCTTGATCCAACCTGATCCAGCTCCAGCAGGGCCATTCGGCACTGGCCGCCCAGGACCGTGTCCAGATGGCTTCTCAATACCACCGAGGATGGAGCCTCCTCAATCTCTCTGGGCAACTGTGCCAGGGCTTGGTCATCCTCACACTGAAAAAGTGTTTCCTGACGTTCAGAGGGACCCTCCTGCATTCCAATATGTGCCCACGGCCTCTTGTCCTGGCACTGGGCACCACTGGGAAGAGCCCGTCTCCCTCTGCTTTGCACCACTGCTCCAGTCCCTCACTCATCTTCGTGGTCCCTCACCAGGCTCTCCCCAGTGCATCCCTGTCACTCTTGTACTGAGGAGCCCAGCACCAGGCACAGGACTCTTGGGGTGATGCACCATTGCTGAGCAGAGGGGAAGCATCTCCTCCCTCCACATTCTGGCAACATTTTGCCTAAAGCAACCGAGGACACCCTTAGTCTTCTTTGTAGTTTATGTTCAGTTTGGTGCCCACCAAGACACCTCCAGGTCCTTTTCAGAAAAGCTGCTTCACAACAGAACTGGACCTGGTTTTGATCCCTGGGATACACTGCTAGTGATTGACCTGCAAGTAGACTTTGTGCCACTAATCACCACACTCTGGGCCAGTTTTCAATCCACCTCATTCCCTCACCTCCCTGAGTCCTAGGGGAGCTGCCAACCCCAGCTCTGCCCCAAGCCCATGCCAGCTGGGTGCAGGCAGACCTCAGCGCCAGCCACCAGCCCGTGAGGCGGCAGAGCAGAGCTCGGGAAGCGGGTTGCTTGCTTTTACTCTGGGGCTGTTCCTGGCTGGCCTCCAAACATCAGCTTAGGCTCAGCTGGAAATCAGCCTTGGCTGCAAGCTGCTTCATGCTGGCTGTTGAGGAGCCTTTCCAGCCTGCAGATGACAGGGCCACCCCTGTCCTTCCTTTTCTGTAGGTGTGCACTTTCAAGTCAAAACCAAGGTGAGGCTGGAGCCATCAAACTCTGTGTGGATTTGACACTTCTTGATATTGCTATTAATGGGAAAAGTAGCACTTGGCAAACAGAGGTGATAAGCCTTAGGCTGCTCTCCCACTTTGAAGTACATAGGGAGATGGCTTTCTTTTCCTTTGGGTGCTACCAAAGGAAAAGGACCCACAGGGTCATTGATTCCCAGGGGTAAAGCTGAGGTATGTGCAGGGTTTTGAAACTTTGACAAAACCTAAGGGTAGTACCTCCGGAAAGATAAGCACATGGAGTCAACTCTGCACAGCAAAACTCCATGAGCTTTCCAGGTGCCTGAGACTGAATGATGAGAAAAACCATCAGGACTTTATCATTTTATACTGAATGCAGTCCAGGCAAGACTTTCACAGGATCTTTAGAAAACAAGGAGAATGTGTTTATGAGTCTCACTCTCTCAGGGCACTCAGCCCTGGGGAGAAAAGGCAGATGTGACACCCACTCCTGCTGAACCTGTCCTAACAAAGCAGGAGGAAAATCAGCTGTCCTTGGGGAAGGCGGCCACTCCAGAGTCCAGCATACCAGCCCTTCCTACCAGGGCTGCAGAGTGAAGATGAACATCATCTCTTAGGACCTAGAGGAGCCACAGAAATGCATAAGCAAAGCAGTCAGGCCCTGCATAAACTGGAGTTCATGGCAGCACATGCAAAGGCTGACACCTGAGACACAGGTTGTGCAGGTGGCTGTTTCACAGAGCGACAGCTGGAGCTGCCCTGCTACACAGATGAGGTGTTCGTCTCTCCTAGAGCATTCTGCATGGGACCACAACAAAATCCTGTGTTAAGAGTGAGATTTGCCTTCCACAGGGTGCTGCTGTTTGGGCAGAGACACTCAAACATCGAGTTGGCAAAATTGTTTCTGATGGATAACTTTTCCGGTGGTGTACGCTGGGTTGTCGGCAGTTTCCTCGCTGGGGACATCTGCCTTGGTGCTTTCCAGTGGGACACAGGCAGGCTACCAAACCGGCTTGCCAGGCTGACTCCTGGCAGGAAAGCCAGCCAGTGTGCTGCCAGCTCCTCCAGCTGGCGCCTTGGCTGCCTGGCTGCGGGCACCATGGTGCCTGCTGGCTCCTGATGCTGCTCGGCACTTCCCACAGCAAAAAGCCCTGTTTGCAGTTACAGGGAAGTTTGCCAAGCTTTACCTACTTTCACTGCAATGCTAGTGGGCTGATTTTATTATTATTATTACTATTTTCGAATCTGGCCAGAAAGGTCCAGCTGTTTCCCAGAGCAAAGTCAGGGAAAATATATTTTCAGCCATTAAAAATATCATCTTGTCTGAAGACAAGATCTCTGCAGTCTGGTGTTTGGCAAGGGACAAATCCCCTGGCAGAGGTGTGCTGGGTCTCCCGCTGACCTCTGAAAAGCTTTGTGTATTGCTGGAGCTATAAACTTCTTAAAACCTGCACCCCACATTCCTGCAGGCCCAAAACCTCTGGGCTCTCCGTTGATGCCATCCCTGCTCACCATCCTATCATGACTCCACTGGGTACCCAGCTGCCTTTCCCCATCCTACTGAAATATTGCCTGTCTCAGGCTAGAGCATCTCAACCATGGGCTGGTGCAGATATCTGATGTTATAATTACCTTTGCAGCGTTAATCAGCCAGTGCACACAAGCACTGCTTTGTAGACAGCTTTTAATTCATGTCCCCATGTTGAGCTTTTTCATGGGAACCCCATCCCACCTGAGGACCTCCAGGCTATGCCACATATGTCCCCTCTTCCTCATCTCAAAACCTTTCAGGTCCCAGAGGAGGCCAGCACTGCCAAAGAAGCATGATCCTCACAGCAGCTGTCACGGGCAGCACAGGATTCCCCCGCTGAGGCCAGTATGAACCTCTTCCTTTCCCCAAAGGACCAGCTGCTTCCTTGCCAATGCTGCTGGGAGACAGGCACCTCTCACAAGGAACTGTGGCCTCCCAGCAGCCTGGCTTTAACCTCGGAAATAATGAGTTTTCATCTCCGTGGAGAACGAAGCCGGCCTGACTCTGCACAGAGACAAAGCCCCAAGTTTGCCGCCAGCTCTGCCCACAGCAAGAGGAACACGGCGCTTCTGTGAGCTCACACAAAGCCTCCCTTGTGCGGGAGAGGATCCAGCCAAACAAACGATCTCCTTGGCTGCATGTCTCCTGGTGCTCCATCATTTTTACTTTTGGCTGGGTTGTTCCCACAACCAAGGAAAATTTAACAAGTAAAAGCATCTGATAAAAATCTATTGACCGCAGTAAAGCACCAACCCAGCCAAACCAGTCTGTGCAGCACAACCCTCACATTCTTCGGGATGTGTCCATTCAGTTTGCCACCTAGAAAAACAAACTCTCTGTGGTACTTGCAACACCACCAGTGTGGAGGCTTTGAGTAAAGCTTGTGTTACCAAAGTGCAGAGAGATGTTTGAGAGATACTTCCTTCCCCAGGCCCGGTTCCCTGTTGTGCAAAGACAAGTCTCTTATGTCATTTGCTTGGCATTTATTTTGTGCTTCTCTTGTGTTTCCAGATCACACTGCTCCCCTTGCTGCTGGCCTTGGCACTAAGGTCCTGACTCCTGGTGACAGAAGTTCTGGCCAGGTGTCCTGCAGGAATGATGCACCTTGTTATCGCTGAGGAAGTCTGCAAGAAAACTACTTTTGGCCACTGATGCCTTCAAGTTTCACAAGGATTAGTCACAGATGGTTCAAATCTTGCTTTGGAGACAAATCTCAAGGCAAGACTTGACTTCAAGACAAAATTTGAACCACCTGTGAGTAATCCTGCTGGACTTGCATTGCTGAGATGGATAGTGTTGTTTCTGGAGGCAGCAGCTGGAACAAAAGCTTCCATGGTGAATGGGTCAGGTACCAGCAGGATGAGGCCACCAGCATGTTCCTCTTGGTTGAATTAATTTCAGCAGATGTGGAGCACACATGAGCAAACCCACCTAACACCCAGAGACAATGGTGTTTGCCACCCTCAGAGAAGGTGGCCTGGGACTGTGTGGCCAGCGGTGAATGACACCAGGCAGGTAGAGCTGTTGCACAGGAGATCTGCTGTACAGCTTACTTAGCCAGCTCCTGGAATACACCTCTGGATGGGAACCTTGCTTTTTTATGAAAGCACACATGGAGACTCTTGAGGGTGCTGCCTGCAGTGCATGATGTGGTAGACCTGGAAGACGAACAGCACCGTTAGAGTAGGGCCCAGGACCAGGCTGATCCCACACATTACTGTGGCAGCCATCAATAAGC